GCTTTCTGGGGTTTAGCTTGAGGGGAGAAACGGTAAATGGCGCGGAGTAAATGACAGTGTCACAGGTGCGCTGCTACACGCGCTCCCCTGCACCTGGCACACCGATGACCAGTAACGAAACTGGCAGCCCTGGGAAGGCAGCAAAACGCAGTCACAGGAGGCGCAGGCTAGCGAGCGTGAAGGGGAGGGGAGAAACGCTGAAACCTGTGGGAAGGGTCAAGGCGAACCGCCGCAATTCCAAAGAAGGAACACGCAACCCCACCGAACGAGGTTTACATCGCGCCTTGCTGACGACATTTTCCTCGTTACGCTCCCGCCCCAGAAGACGGGTTAATGCCCTCACCGGAGGGCCCTTATAAGCCCAGCTGGCGCCGCGTTTTCCAGCCGACGGCTTTGGAAACCCTCCCGCGGCCGAGTAGAGACAAACATTTGGTTGTTTGGGGTTTTTTTCAGAGCAGCTTCAGAATTGTAAGTTTTGTATTGTTCTCTTGGTAGCTAGTGCCTTTCCATCAAGTAACGGGAAGCTGTGCAAAACTGTTTTTTGACGACTTTTTAGTTTTGCACCCAACAGGTTTGCCTTTCATTTATGGTCAGGTGTAAATTACCAAGGTGAGATGGTAGCTTGCAACTACCTGAAACACTTTAGATGGCCTTAACTATCAGCAACTGATATATTTTATAGATACGCCCCAGAATAAAGTACATAAAGAAATGAAACCTCAACTAAGATGGGTTTCTTTTCTTTCGTGCAGAGAAATTGTCTACAATCCCAGAGAGACAAAGATTCCCATCCATGATGATGAAGACAGACTTTACAGAAGAGCGTATGGTAATGTTGGGGTTTACTAGAATAGAGGAAACTATTCTTAAATGGAAACTCTCATAAAGAGTAATGCTTATACTGCAGTAGTGTTTCAAATATGCCAACTGCTGTAACAATCGCTAGCTGAATTTATAGCTAGAGAATCTTAGAATCCAAACAGAAAAGTGGGAGGAAGGGAAGGAGGGAATTTTTCTCCCCTCAGCAGTAATTTTTTTAAAATCAAAATAGCGATTTGTAAAGGCTGCCTTTGAATATTGCATTTATATAGAGACAATGAAGCACAAGCAGCAGTCAACACTGATTTGGAATGTACGCATTTACCAAAAAGAAGTAAATGCAATATGTGGCTGTATCTACAACAATCTATAGTGCTGCTTTTTAATTCTGTAAATGGCATTACTACAATAAAATCAGTTCTCCAGACTAATAAGTACATGATTCTAAGGTGTTATTCAAGTGAATTTTTAAGTGATAACCTACTATGAATTGCTTCAAAACTTTTCAGTTTGCACCTTGAAGGCAATTTTAGGAAGGGAAGTCATACCTATGCCTGATGTAAGACTGTATTTTTTTGGTTGTGCTTCCTGAAATCTTCAGAAACTTTTCGCAATGCTTCATAAAGTAGATATTTAAGTAGATGTTCACTATTTACATACACAGGGTTTAATTTGGAATCATGCATCCTTGTTTTGTTTTGGAACTGAAAAAGCAATGTTGTTGCTAGTAGCTGAAGTAGGAGCATAGTAACTTCCTGTTCATAGTACGTTGGGAAACTGCAGTCTCCAACCTTTTAGGGGTTGAGGAGAGAAAGGGACAGACAGAAGTGTTGGACAGAAAGCCACTCTGTGAGGAAACCGCATTTATCTATTCCTAATTGTTACTGAATGCTTCCTCTGTGCTTAACCTTTCTCCGTAGACTTCCTTCCTTAAACCAGGTCCTTTATTCTCCTGCTTCATTGCATGAGGAAAATAACATGAATATGGGTGGCTGCCTCCCTACTAAATACGACCTCTTTTGTGTAAATTGCCCATATTTCAGTAGTATAGCAAAGACAGACAATCCTCCCATCTCCTTTGTGTCTTTCATGCCTTCCTGGAGAATGAAAAAGTCATAGATGAGCGAGTGCACTTGCAACTTCTTTGTGCGGCTTCCATTCCAAGAAACTGACAAGACAGTAAATGGTTTAAATATGATAGAATCTGATGTTTTTCCCTGTTCTATGTGTACTTATTATATGAGATAAAAAAGGAGAAGGTAGCGTTTTCTAGCCTACACTCTATTAATTAGAAGACAGGAACGACCCTGAAGAGATGAATTAACATCTCTGACCCAATGAAGAGTGCTCAAAAGGAAAATGTATATGGTGTTGCTGTGTTGAAAAGCAAGTCACTTTTTTTTTTTTTAATTTGGAAGTGTAAGAAATAATTTTCAATATGCTCAGCAGCTTACTCAAGGAAATTTGCATTCCATAAAGGAGCTGAGATACAACTCAAGTTGCTTATGTGAAAGTTTTGAAATCACTTTCTGTGCTTTATCAGACTATAAAGTGAGTTTTAACATAGTCAGAATGTGATTTACTGTGTTCTAAAAAATTCTGATGGTTCATCAAGAAAAATTTAAACGTATACAGTAGCTTGTACCAATGTGTTTGCCAAATATAACTTCATATAAACCATTTGCCAAAACAAAATTACTGTGTTAAGATGATAAATTCATTTTTTAAATGCTGATAATTGTGGGGATTTCCTGCTTGCAAATCTCTGCTGTTAGGACAAAAATACTATAAAAGTAGGATTCTAACCACACCAAAGGTTACCATGTTTACTATTCTACAGCCAGGGAGAGTCACTAGCAGATTGGGAGAGTTATTAGGAAAATAGAAGGTTACAATAAGCTTAATTTTTCTGTTGCATGGAAACCACTTTGTGGTATAATTCTTACCAGTTGATCAGCCATACAAGTTGAAAATGATCTTAGCTGAAACTAGAGACCTCGATCTAATCTCATGAACGTTTGCTGTGTGGACTTTCTTTTCTCCTGTTCCTGGATCACAGTGGCTAGTTTATTCTGTCATCCATTCCACGACTTTCATGTGGCAAGTGCTTGCACGGATGAACGAATAACTGGAAAGATTAGTATTAATGTACTGCTGCTGGAATTTAGCAACCAAAATCTGAGAGGCTTTAGAAGCAGCTGGTTTACTACAGACCACCAAGGGATAGTCTGTATCAAGAAGTATTTTGTTTGTAACCACTTTTAAATCTGAATTCTAATACAACAGGTTTTCTTTATGTAGATGTTGTATGGAGGTCTATCACTACATTGACATAGTCTTCTTCATTCGTAGTGGTTACAATTACAGCATGAGCTAAGCCTGAGGAAACTAATAGAGGGTTCAGAGTATGAAGAGGAACTGAGGTATGACTTCAATATAAAAGGGGAACTGAGGCATCTGGATACAAATGATTCCTTTGTTTTCAATTATTACAAGAATGCACATGAGCAGAATCATAAACGCTATCAAGTTTTGGGACATTTGATTACCCAATATGTTTATGAGCTCCTGGAAAGAGTCTGCATGCTGCAGAAAGTTTATATTCCTACTGATGCTACACAGGATGAACCCAGAAGTTTCTTTTTCACGAGTGAGAATGCACTAACAAGTTCTTCTAGTCTAATTGTCCTTCTTCAAGACCGTGGCATTTTCTGTGCCGGACAGTGGGGGCAAAGGACCATTGTCAGTGAGGGCTTGTGGCATGGAACACAAATACCGTTCATCAAAATGGCCCTTCAAAGCCACGAGGGAGTGATTGTACTAAATCCCAATGACAACTTCATTGACCTGAAGACTGAAAAGGAGAGGTTAAGCTTTTCTGCTAGGGAAGAAGCACTGAATTCTACACAGGCTGTCTGGTGGATCCCCAAGAGGGGCAGCAGCAGCCCTGAGGAGCATACCATATACGTATGGGATCATTTCATTTCAAAGAGCGCAGCCAAGCATGTGGCTTTCATTGCCCACGGCTATGGTGGCTTGGTGTTTGTTGATCTGCTGGTGCAGAGAAAATGGGAGGTAATGAACAAAGTATACTCTGTGGCATTCATCGACTCCATGCACAACACACAGCACCAGACGAGAGGCGACCCACAAATACAAGAATGGATACAGAAATACTGCCGTGAATGGGTGTCAAACAGCAAGCCTCTAGATAAAGCTGTGGGTTGTCACGTGAGAGTGAGTTGTCCTACCGTCTCTGCTGGAACAGAAAATTATGGTCTAGCGCCTTCCTGCTGCTTACATGCTATCTTTAAGTACCTGAGGAGCACACTGAAAGCCAAGACCACAACAGCCTTTAGGCATTCACCTGTTGCAACCAGAAGCTGCACAAGTATGAAGAGAGGCAATAAATAAAGGTATACTGATTTGTTCTTGATGGTGATCTCTTCCTTTCATAGCTGCCCCTGTACCTTTCAGTCATCTAAGGACCTTCATCTCTCCGTGGAGCAACTTACAGTTCAAAGTTTGAAGCCAGTTGGTCTATTTTTGAGAAATGCACAAATACAAGTTAACTGTTAGGAAAGAAGTGCATTGTTGAAGGCTTTAAGCCACAACCCTTCAGCTATCTGAGAAATGTAAAGTCACACAAAATAAAGATGTTAAGGTACATCAACTCTCACCTGTACCATTTTTTAAATAAACATTCTGCAGTTATGGCTCTATAATCAGGCTAAACTATGAGGAAAACATTTGCTTCTTAAGTGCATAGCTTTCACTAAAAGGACAAATCCGTAACACAAGAAGCATGTAAAGGATCTACTTCCTCCCTGCTATATGCCACACAGTATTTAAAGTCTTTCCAGAGCTGGAACATCCACCTTCCCCTTGAAACATTTACTGAAGTTAAATGATACTTTGGAGAACTACATACTACTACGTTCCCTCCAGTCAGAGGGAGTATGCCCCAAACGTGATACAGTGAGCTAAAGTAATTTCCATTTTAAAGCCAGCTAAGCCAGTGAGATTACTGGGCATGAGCTGCTATAGAAATACAACACTCTAGCAACCTGCAATTACTGAACTGATGCAAAAGAATGACATTGTTGTTTTCTCTCAGCTGTTTTAATTTTAGACAGAGGTGGGAAATAGACACAGTTTTTAAATGTCCATACTCAAGGTCTGCAATTTGTACAAGCAGAAGGTCAACTAACCTTTAAAGTGAATGTAAACAAAACAGTTATTCTGAATTTCCAGGTTAACCCTGTGGGAATTACAAGTGCTCAGTGGCTGCGAAAGAACTTTGAAGGATGACAAAACTTCGTCCTACACCTTCAGTTCCCATCTCAGTCAAAAAAATTGTTGAACAATAATACTGGATACTAGAAAAAGATAGTGTCAACTTGCCTTTTGTGATATCCATTTCAGTCATCTCTAATACTGTTTGGAAAAGCTTTCGTCCTGTTATCCAGTAATGGGAAAAAGTGTAAAATCCCATTGGAAAGGCACAGTCAGTTCAAGGCTCTTGAGAGCAAGCATAGCTTTTTAAATAACGATAGGTTTACTGTTATTGCATCTGAATGAGAATGGTACTAAACAGACAATTAATAGACTATAAGGTCCTTTAGTTCATTTAAGAAAGTTGCAGTGGAGATGCTATCATTGAGGTGACAGAACGTCTGTCTTCAGAAGGAGACCAATATGATCCTTCAACATAAATGCCCAGACTGTCCCACGGTGTCAGAGATGGCTTGAAGAAAAAAGGGTTCTAGAACATCGGCCATATTCTTTATCTTAGGTCAACTCATTAAATTCCTTGGTAGAGCAGGTCATATTTAGGAATGTTATTGGGATCAATAGGACTTCTCACAATGAGCTTTCCATGCATTGCTCCACGGTAAATCACTTCAATCAGATCTATAAAGTCTTGCTTTGTTTTGAAGCTGCCTACAAATTTCGTATGATCTGGAGACCTAAATATAAGCATAAGATATAAAGTAAGGTTAAAGTGGTCAAAGGAAAAACACCTTAAGACAGGAAAAGATGCATAATTAAATTAAGGGTTCTGATTTACTCATTCTGAAAGAATGAACTGCACTGGTAATGGCATAACCAGGTCAGGAATATACTGTGACTTTCCAAAGTCCAAAAAGGTGCAGTGTCATGTCTAAGACTTGAACCGTACTATTTTTTGCAGCCAGGCATGTTTCACAGCTGACACCTACTTATGGCACCAGAGCATATTTCAAAATACTTCTTAATTTTAAGTTCTTCTAGCTTCCTACCGAGTTCTCAATGCAGAGGCTGGTAACAACATTATAGTTTTCAAACATTACCTTCTCCAGACATGGTAACATAGAGAAAGACTGATAATTGTTACAGACATAATAGAAAATGCCAGGTAGTTTGACATACCCATAATCAACCTTCATGTGTTGTCCATTGAAGAAAAATATAGTAGATGGAATATAACTGATGTCAAAATACTGGGTGTACACTGGAACCTTGTCCACATCCACCAGGTAAATGACTGCCATTTTACTTAGGTCATGAGCTGTCTTTGCAAGCTGAAAAGAGTGAGAAAGATGGATGACAAATGGATTGAGACACAAAAGGAAAAAGTCTGGCAAGCTTTATAAAGCCCATTTCCCTTATGTCTTATCAGTGTAAGCAGGGCTAGAATATCGTGTCTTATCTGCTTCAAGCACTTTGCATACCCACTACAATGGCATAAATATTTATTTAATTTTCAAACTCTTTTATTAATAGTTTTATTTCATTTTACATGTCTCCAAAATTTTCATGAGACACTGTATTATCCTAAAGCAACATATGCCATTCTCTTGTATGCAATACATACACTAGACGAGTTTAATAGTAATAATAAAAAAAACGCTCTTACAATATCATCGAGCTGCAGACAAACAGAATCGTTATCTCTTCCAAAACGCAGAACCAAAACCTTCTCAGCCACGCTCTTTATTGCTTGATCCACTTCCCTCTTACAGGTCAGTTTGGGCAGCAGAAAACTCATCACGACAGACCACGGGTTCCACTGAAATCCCTACCTGACGGTTAGAAAAAACAAAAACAAAACACAAAACCAAAACGAAACAAACCTGCGTCAAAAATCAGCGAAACTTCTTCATGCTATCA